CCCCAAAACCCCAAAACCCCAAAACCCCAAAACCCCAAAACCCCAAAACCCCTTCACATTTGAGATTATTGAATGAAGGCCTTTAGTTAATCAAAGGATGATTGAGACCTTCTTCACTCCAGGTTCCATCTGATACGAAAACGAAGATTTCTCCTGAACTGTTATCTTTCCACACAAATCTGGAGTCGAAGGTATTTCTCTTAAACAGCCTTTTGTGAAAATCAATAGAGGATGGGTTGATCTTGACTAAGTCCTTGATGTCAACGACTGATCTACGGATGGCTCCAAAGAACCCAATCTTAGTGAATACTACCTGCTCGGTATGAGGAAGAAGATCTGCCCTATGGGTCAGATATTTTCAAGTATTGAAAATGTATGGAATTTCAAATGAGTATGGGATAATAGGTAGCCATAATAAAGGATAGGCAGAAATTCAAGTACCATAAACCAAAAATGACAAAGCAATATAGTCATAAACTCTTGCGCCGATGTATGAAGGAGTACTGGGAGATTGGTAGAGGAACACAGAGTTTTCATGGATCTGGACTGGTTCATCATAAGCATTTTGAGCTTGTTGTCTGCTATTATCAAAGAGACTAGCTAAAATTTTCAATGTTAGTTTGTTCTTCAGGAAAGGAATCCTTGGAGCCCAGTGGTAGAGGGAATATTTATTGGTTCTAGCATTGTCAAGATGATGGATTCTGTTTGAACCCAACAGAATATTGAGCTTCCCAATTACTCTATGATGTAAGAGGTTTCCTCTCTTTTTACCAAGTTCCTGATCCAAATCTCCTTCCTCTACAGGAACATGATAGGTTGTATTTTCTGACTTCTTGTAGATTTGTGCTCTCTTAAAATGGTGATGGCCTCCTCCAAAGTTACGACCCATCCATGTTGTGATCCTCTTCTGACTTGGTTGTCTTACAAGAAACATATTTATTATAAATTAGGAAATAATTATTATAATCAATAAATTATTAGCATAATGGGGTTTTGGGGTTTTGGGGTTTTGGGGTTTTGGGGTTTTGGGGTTTTGGGG